GTTAGATTCAAACGTAAAAACGTGCCAAATTCTGGACAGAAAAGCTTCCTAGCTCAGACCAAAAAGCGTTCTTCACTGTTTAACGTCTTCGCATGCTTTTTTTTTACTTTTGTTTGTGCTAATTACTAATACTTATTACTAATAATTCATTTATTATCTACAATCGCTAAACACAAAGCTCCTTAATAATTAATTATTGAATTCCATCGGCACGTAAGAATAAAAATGTCATTTTACAACTTATCCCTTAAGTAGAGGGTACGACACCCTCATTTGTCAATTACCTTCTTTTTTATCGCTGGTCTGGTGCAGATGTTATATAAATGCCTCAGTTTCTACTTTTCTTTACAGTGTTAATATTAACTCAGATTTTAGTGTTTAAATCTGTGGCATTAATGAATCATTATCAAAACTGCAGTATATACATGCTGATTCAAGTTCGAGGGCCACAATGGGGATCTCGGCAACTGTAAGAGATAGGTAGGTAGTTTAAATTTGGTAAAGTTGCGTATTTTGATGCTTAACAAACTGCAGTTTTGAAACTAAAAAAATTCCTACTACTTTCGGATACCCTCGAATTTGAATCAACCTTAAGTTCTTTGCATTAAAACCAAAAAGAATGCAACGATCAAACTTCTGCAATCGCTCATCCTAAATATTAACCGCGCACTAAGTTCGAATAATTTAATAAAAATATTGCCTTATTATTTGAAAAAAAAGTTGTCACGGCGCTAAAAACTTAGATATTAAAAAATGTTTTTGACAGTTTTACATCCTTTATAATGCCTAATGCACATTCGCAAAATTTTAACAAAATCATTGTAACCGTTTTGGGGAAACATTTTTTTAGTTTTTTACCTTTGACATTTTTTTTCTCAGTTTTTTTGTAATAAAACCAGACACAATTTTAACATTTCCAAAAAACGATGATCGCAATAGCCACCTAGCTCAAGCTAGGAAGCTAATAAAAGAAACGGATTTAAACCACTAACTCTAAATGTTATAATAATACCCTTATATAATCTGCTGAAGTCAAGACTGTAGATCGACAATCAGGTCAAAACAGTCACCCTCCAGTGATACTTAAGGGACAACTCTTTGGAAAATGTACTTCGGAACCTCCTCCAGTATGCAGCAATCATTTTCTGTTTGCACTCCACACTAAATTTGAGTTAAAGATTCACTTTTTTACTAATAAAAAGGACCCACTGGTCGGTTATATAGTTCATGAACCATTTTTTCAGACGAATCCCGATTTTTCATTTTTTTAATTACCCAGCCCCACCTGACGGCGGATTGCGAATTAAAATGGATTAATGTTGATTGGCCAATGCTCTTTTTAGAACCATTCACGGATGGACTTGGGGCCCTTACTCATCTTCACGCGTAACTTCAAAATCAAAGCATTTTATGTCGCAGGATGACCTTTTGCAGGGTTGCTTATGAATTATTTAATTTTTAACGATTGCTATATCTACCTGTAGGTGAAGACATTTCAAAAGATTGAACTTCCTTTATTGGAATTTTATTTTTCAACAACACTTCTTGTTCCATAAATTCTAAAAACTCTTAAATAAATTGGCCACATTTTTAATTTATAGACGGAACAAAATATTTTTGCAGAAATTTTAATTTCAACTTCTCAAGTGAAGAGTTTTCCGAAAAGTAAAAAACGAAGACAACTGGCAGAACGGCACGAAACTGAGACTCAAACGACAGCTTCGCTTAAATATATTTAATCCGAAAATAGAATATAATTCCGAACAACTCCAATTTCACTTGGATTAATCCACGTATATCGGATGATCGTACGCTTAATTGAAATAATTGGAACGTGTTCCGACTTGAGAATATGCGGTAAACGCTCGTATCAGTTTTATACGTCTTATCTTCCACGATTTCTGGTTGCTGTTATCGAAATGTGAAAATGAATTGCGAAATTTTTATTGAGACCACTTTTTAAATTAAGGAATAGGCATTGACCAACTAACCGAAACCGTTTTCCAATCGCTTGTTCCACATTAATTTTCCATTTTCTCTATTAGATAGATTTTATTAAAAAAAAGCAGTTCTAAAGGCATTTCAGACAACATTGGCCAAATAGGCTTTAATTACAAACAATTGTATTGGTGGATCCATTATTGTTTGGGATTAATTATTCAAATTATTGTATTTATTTGTTGGGAAAGACAAATAAATACAATAATTTTATTACTAATTTGGAATTGCTGAGATTTTAGAATTGCCCAGTAATGAAGCTTCCTTTTTGTGTCACCGAGGCTGTTATTCTAATTTTATTAATAATACTAACATAGAACCTATAATAAAAATGTTCCAAAATCCACTCGTGGGTATTGCCGCGTAACACAAGGTATTAAAACGATGCATCGTCATCAAAAGCACACAAAATGTCGAATCTGCATATTGAAGTAGGTACGTCCCACGTCCAGAGAAAGAGAGGAGTTAAATAAGTAAAATAAAGTTTCAAAGAAATATTACCATACATAAGAAAGTTGGCAATGAGCAGTCTGTGCAGTCACTGCGCATGCCCACATAATTTTTACTATGTGCGAAATGTTTACCTTTACTAAAAGCGTCTGTGGTTAAAATTTCAAAGCAATATCTCCATAAATATGAAAGTTGGCATTGCGCAGTCTGTGCAAAATATGGAGTTAAATGAAACTGATCGAAATGGGCAAATATAGACCATAACAGCTATCAATTAGCGAAAACCCAAAGTCTCTAGGTGGCCCAGGGGCCGAGATCTCGATGGAACGGGCGGACGGACGGACAGACGGAAACACGAGCACATAAGCTTTATCTCAACTTCGTTGTATTACGCTAAGAAAGAGACAGAAGGAAAAGGAGATTAGTAAGAATTTATCAACCTCTAATGGAAGAAGTGCATGATTTCCAACAATTCGTACTTTTTCGATCAGACTTTTCAATCAAAAGTTATAGACTAGAAACCAATTTCGAAAGAAAATTCTAAGGGCTGTAACTTTTGAACTAGTAGCCCAATCTTGGAACTGTTTGAAATTATGGATTCTACAGGCCACATTCTATAAGAAAATTTTTTTTCCGGTCGATCTGAGACAATTTTTTTCTTGGGCCAAAAAAAAAGGCAGTGTATAACCTTCCTTTTTTACCAAAAATCGACTACACCAAAATTTCTCGGGAAAACACTTCTTCTTATTAATTTTGGTGCGTAGAATCCAAAACAATTCGTACTTTTTCGATCAGACTTCTCAATCAAAAGTTATAGACTAGAAAACCAATTTCGAAAAAAAATTCAAAGGGCTGTAACTTTTGAACTAGTAGCCCAATCTTGGAACTGTTTGAAATTATGGATTCTAAAGGCCACATTCTATAAGAAAATTTTTTTTCCGGGTCGATCTGAGACAATTTTTTTTCGGGGCTCAAAAAAAGGCAGTGTATAACCTTCCTTTTTACCAAAAATCGACTACACCAAAATTTCTCGGGAAAACACTTTTTCTTATTAATTTTGGTGCGTAGAATCCAAAACAATTCGTACTTTTTCGATTAGACTTCTCTATCAAAAGTTATGGACTAAAAACCAATTTCGAAATAAAATACAAAAGGCTGTAACTTTTGAACTAGTAGCCCAATCTTGGAACTGTTTGACATTATGGATTCTACAGGCCACATTGTATAATAAAATTTTTTTTCCGGGTCGATCTGAGACAATTTCTTTTCCGGGCCTCAAAAAAAGGCAGTGTATAACCTTCCTTTTTTACCAAAAATCGACTACACCAAAATTTTTCGGGAAAACACTTTTTTTTATTAATTTTGGTGCGTAGAATCCAACACAATTCATTCTTTTTCGACCAGACTTCTCAATCAAAAGTTATGGACTAAAAACCAATTTCGAAAAAAAATACAAAAGGCTGTAACTTTTCAACTAGTAGCCCAATCTTGGAACTGTTTGAAATTATGGATTCTACAGGCCACATTCTATAAGAAAGTGTTTTTTCCGGGTCGATCTGAGACAATTTCTTTCCGGGCCTCAAAAAAAGGCAGTGTATAAACCTTCCTTTTTTACCAAAAATCGACTACACCAAAATTTCTTGGGAAAACACTTTTTCTTATTAATTTTGGTGCGTAGAATCCAAAACAGTTCGTACTTTTTCGATTAGACTTCTCAATCAAAAGCTATGAACTAAAAACCAATTTCGAAAGAAAATACAAAGGGCTGTAACTTTTGAACTAGTAGCCCAATCTTGGAACTGTTTGAAATTATGGATTCTACAGGCCACAGTCTATAAGAAAATTTTTTTCCGGGTCGATCTGAGACAATTTTTTTTCCGGGTCTCAAAAAAAGGCAGTGTATAACCTTCCTTTTTTACCAAAAATCTACTACATCAAAATTTCTCGGGAAAACACTCATTCGTACTTATTAATGGGCGAGCACATAGTTTGATAATGACTACGGTCACACGACTAACATCGGACTTTCTTCTTGCATTCTCTGGAGGAGTGACCAGTTTTCAAGCATCTGAAGCAAGCTTTTCTGAAGAAAGGAAGAAAACCGTTTCGCTATTAAAATGTGCCTGTTTTAAAATAAATTGATTGCTGTTTAATTTCCTTGTCGTTTTTTAAGAAAATTTAATCCGATAAAGCAGAGAATTAGGCTATGCAAAACATTCTTCCAATCACTTAGTTTTCCATTGCGAAAGAAAACCGCCTAATTGAATGCACTTGTTTTCAAATAAGTTGATGCATGATAAGTCAATAAAAATAAAAGTATAATAGTTCTTTATGGCCCTCGATTTCGAACCTCCGCATAAATATAAAAGAAAAACATTTCAAACATGAATCTTACGATTCATTTCGATGAAGGCACTTTAACCCAAAACCCTGAGGAATATGTATAGCAATGGAAAAATGTAATCGACCTCCTCTAAAATAAACAAAAGCAGTATGGAATAAATTAGCTTATCTAAAAATAATTATGACATACTGGATCTTATCATCTTTATCGTTTCATGGTGCAAGTAGTTAATCGAGTATTGCTGAAAGTGTATGTACTATGAAAACAGTGCTAGCCTTCTTCGCGATAAGCGTCGTATACGCTCACGCTGTGTTTACAGGTATTTTATTATTTCTTCGCGTATGCCTAACTTGAAGGCAACTTTTAGGTTATTACTGGAGAGATTACGATGCGTCCTCCATACCCTGTGATGCAATACAAGGTGGAACGGATAGCTACGGGCATTACACTTACATTGGTCTAATTGCTCTATCAGATCCAGGTAGTTTAGACCTACCCGACATGGTTTCCGCTACAATTTATAAAGGTGATAAATACGCTTACTCAGCCTATCACAGTCGACTATTCAAAAGCGATAGAGGGGTCAAAGTAAAATACACAGAGAGTACTAATTTATTTCTCATGCAAAGTTTTAGATTCTGTGCAGCGCTGATTCCAAGAATGTCCGTTGGTCGAAGTCTCTGGGTAATGGTTGCACTTTGGTGAGGGGTAGCTATAGGTACAGCAAACTACACAAACTACTACATCGGTCGCACAATTTACAACGGCAAAAACGTTACCGGAAGGTTTTCGACGGAGGAACTGACCCTTTACGTGCCTTGGACGCCTGAGCCACTGAGACTTAAAACGTTCAAGGAGTATGAGATGTTGATGTACTGCAATAGTGAGGATCTTACAGTTCGGAGGGTGCCAGTCGTATAAAATTAAACAATTCAAAAGAACCCTATTTTTTTATCGTAAAATATCTAAATCAAAAGCTTCGCTCCGAGAGAAAATAAAATACGCAATCAAAGTGCGATAAGTGCGATATTAACATTAAAAGAGCAGAAAAGCGCGAAAACCCAATTGTAAATAGCGGGTTGGAGTGCGAAGCTGACGTCTTATTAAAATTTCAATAGGTCATTTACGCTTATACCTACACGTAATGTTAAAAGCTCAATAATTGCATGTCAACTTGTCAACTGGAACAAAAAAAAGATTAGTTCGTTAAAGAAATGGGGATATGCATGGAAAACAAGTCGTCTCTACCTAACTTTGTTAACATTTATTGCCTCTTTCGCAATCAATTAAGTGCGGGTAGCATTTGTGGTCGCGTTTACTATTGACCGATTGGCCGAATAATTTAATAAAATTCCCTCCAGGTTGTTAATGAAAGAGTGTCGCGAGTTTTACCAGTGCTGATGATAATTGCCATTAAATTGTCTGATTTACAGCTACCAAATGCTAGTAGGATGTTAATTTACAAATTAATTCATGTTTTTTAGCAATTCATTAACTCAACATCAGACACATAATATGTAATACAATGTGCGAAAAAATACCAAAGAATACTACTGTAGAATAACATCAACTACTAAGCCTCCTCTCTCGTTTCAACGACAGTGGCTACTATACGCTGGGGTATTCAGATGTTATCCATACTAATAACCGGCAAGTTTGGGGCTACTCCATGCAGACGGATGCAATCAGCTCTTGGAGTAAGTAACCGAAGATTTGTGTAGGGAATACTCTTTTTCCATCAACCCGAAAAAAACGAAAGTAGTTCTCTTCACAAGAAAAAGAGAGATAGAGAGGTTTCAAACTCCCCTGGTATTCCAAAAACACCTCCATTTTTCAGAGTCGGTGAAATATTGGCGCAGCGGGACGTTGAAGGGGGGGGGGGGTTTCTCGCGGAGGCAGGAGGTTATTGATCTGACAATAGCTCCTCACATGATCGCTCAGCGCAGGTATAAGGACCATATTCGAAGGTCTAAATGAGGATCATGGAGAACCCTCTCTAAGATCCTTCTAAAAGATCCGAGGCAAAAAAAATGGGAACAGTGAGGCTTCCATGCGGCAGATATACGTCTACTGCGGGTGCGGCTTTCACATGTCTCTTGAAAACCCTCATTCCAGGCTCTGGGTACTTCGGACCCACCAAAAGGAGCTACCCGGGTCGATGTAAGGCCGATATGTAATACAATGTGCGAAAAAATACCAAAGAATACTACTGTAGAATAACATCAACTACTAAGCCTCCTCTCTCGTTTCAACGACAGTGGCTACAACGCTGGGGTATTCAGATGTTATCCATACTAATAACCGGCAAGTTTGGGGCTACTCCTCAGACGGATGCAATCAGCTCTTGGAGTAAGTAACCGAAGATTTGTGTAGGGAATACTCTTTTTCCATCAACCCGAAAAAAACGAAAGTAGTTCTCTTCACAAGAAAAAGAGAGATAGAGAGGTTTCAAACTCCCCTGGTATTCCAAAAACACCTCCATTTTTCAGAGTCGGTGGTATATTGGCTTTACACTGTCGTGATAAAGCCAATAATACTATACGGCAACCTACAGGAAGCAGCTAGGAAAGGTTCAGAGATTCGCCTGTCTGGGAGTAGCTGGAGCCATGAAAACCACGTTAACTTTGGCCATTGAAGCAGTTCTGGGACTATATGCTCTACACTTAGCTGTAGAGGCAAAGGCTCGAAAGTCTTCCATACGGCTAAACGTGAAAGGATCACGGCAGCCTTGGGTACGCGCGGATCTGAGAGGAAATCCTCAGATCCGGTCCAGGGTCTGTTCTACAGGGTCCTGGAACCGACGAGGGTGAAGCAACTTAGGCTAAACAGGGTCCTATCTTATATTGAGAGGAACGGTCTTTGAACCTAGTTGCGAAAGAAAGGGTGTAAACACAATGGGCCTTTGGTATGCCTAAGTGCTGCCCGGTCGAGCTCCCCTGTGAATAGATAGAAAGAAATTAACTCATATTACAAAATAGCAAAATAATCTGGTTACTAGGCTTAGTTTGGACGCGGCACGGGAAAGTTCTGCAACTGGACGCACGACATTTCATTCATATAATAATGCTGCGATTTTTAATTACACTAAAGGCATCATTACAATTTCACTCCGGCTATTTCCCTCGCGTAATAAACACCGTAATGAATAAGCAAATAATTACCACACTGAATTCACGTTTTTACTCATAAACCAAATATCAACATCCAACCCATTCCGGGTTACATAAACGTTTACTACCCACTTCGCTCATTACAGAACAAACATCAGATGTAGGTACATATTTCCAAGTTTAATGCCATACAGCAGCATTTCGAGCTCATCTTACGATAATAACATTTTTATCGGCGATATAAAATTAAAGTTTTTATTGACATTCAAAAAATTGAGCCGAGAGCCACTGTTGTATAGTTCTAAAGTAAAAAAGAGGTTTAAGGAGAAAATAGGGAAGTTTTTATTACAGTACGAATTCGTACCCGACGTAATTTTAAAGACTTTAAAAATGAGCTCTTTAAGGATTTAAAAGTCGTTGAAAGTTTGCTTAAAAACAGTTACATGTCTGTTTTATATAAATTTCCGATTTAAGGCATGACTAGACACATCTTTAAAGTTTAAAACTGATGAGTCGCCACAGTTTATTAGCGTCGGATTCGCTCTTCCAAATGAAAAATAATAATTTGCCTAATTTACCCCTCTTTAAGTGAAAATTTGCACCGCCATTTTTCGTGGCTTGTTTCTTTTATGAAAATTTGTACACGCGCGTTCATGACAAGGGCGATTTTGTATGAACTTCAATATGTTTTTTATGTGTTCTTTGTTTTCCAATAGCGTGTCTAATTTACAGTAATAGATAGTGTTTATCTGAGCTCGTTTATCTAAAACACTCACATTTCTACTCTCTCACCTTTTCAGGACATTAAATTAAATTGCACGCTCATAGAACACTTAATGAGAACGGTTAAATGTATTTATAAATTAACGACAAGCTCAATTCACGAAACTCGGGAAGAAACAGAAGCTTTTTCACTCATATCCCTTTCATTCCTCGATACGTTTTATTGTGTCTGAAAATGGAACCATGTCTCTTTGGAACGGTACCATGCTCGCCTTTTTCAAGATTTCTTAACGTTTTTCACAAGGGTAGGTCAAGATATTTATGAATAAATAATAAAGGCTTTGGTTTGCCTGTTCATTTTCATAACATTGCATTTCATGCATTAATTCTTTCCACCCTTGTATTTCCACTAGTTTCTAGAGCCGGACTGCTTGCAAATAGCTTACAGGGGAAAATGTACGATGTCCTCAAAAAGGTACCTATTCGAAACACATGTGATTTCCATTTCCTTAAAAAAGAAGACAACAGACTAAACACGATTTAATCCACTAACAAGATGCGGCGACTATCTGTCCACTCATCCGTTACAAACTATTTCTGCAGTATTCGATTACCTTACTTTATTCGATTACAAAAATTCGAGGATTTTAAACGCCTTTATTTAAGAGTCCATAAATACGTGCAGTCCTCTAGAACAGTGTAGACGGTAGAGTTCTTAAAAATATATTTGGAAGACACCTAATTAGAAAGTCTGCAAAGCAGTGGCGCAACCAAGGGGGGTGCTTTGGGGCTAAAGCACTCCCCAAAATTCTAAAGAGAATAAGTGCTTACACATAGACAAGAAGTGGACAAATGAAATGAATTCGATGTTCCTGTTGTCTTAGCGTCAGGGTGTATCCAAGAACTTTCTAAATCCTTTTAAAGACATGCTCATTCATTAAGCGGCAGAGCAAAGCGATGCAAGCTTTATAGGGGAGACGATGGTGTCCGTCTGTCCGTCCGTGAATACGACAACTGTCAAACGCTTGGACCGATTTGGTTAAAACTGTTGACATTTGACCTATATGCCACATGTAATAAACCTATTGAAAATGGGTCAAATCCAATGACCCCGTAGGGTCACACTGAGGTGCTCTGCCACTTTTTTAGATGCTCTTTGGCGGTTTATTCGTTTCGATTCGGAAAGTCAGTAGTTCCTCGCCAGTATACAGCTTCTAGATATTGTTCCCTAAACGCACAGCACAGCATACTTTTCCAAACATCATAACATTGCATTTCATGCATTAATTCTTTCCACCCTTGTATTTCCACTAGTTTCTAGAGCCGGACTGCTTGCAAATAGCTTACAGGGGAAAATGTACGATGTCCTCAAAAAGGTACCTATTCGAAACACATGTGATTTCCATAATATCGGTTATATAGCAATTTCACATTGTCTGAATTTCATGAGTATTTCTGGTAGACGGTTCCAAAAAAGCAGGTCCTGTCATTATTTTGGAATTCAGACTTGAGCCATGTATTCTACCTGCAGCGTCAGAAATCAAACGAAGTCTCGTTCCAAAGTGAGGTCAGTAAAATTCCTTTTTCCTTTCTATCTTCATTTCATCAGAAGATACCTTTTTTAAATATCCTTTCTCAATTTGACTCCAATATTTCCTTACAAAGTATATATTTTAATCCATCATCCTTTCCAGATATTAGCCTCTTTCTAGCAATTCCACCGTTTTCTCGTGCTTTTTATATTCATCTTTCCACAACCTGTCTTTATTCCTTTTTGCTGTGTTTTCCATGATTTTTTGCGCCTTTTTATCCTCCGAAGGTCAAGTTATCTTTATAGATTTTTACCCCAAAATCTTCTATTGCAAAGCTTCGCTTCACTATCTCATGTAAGGTTCCTAAATCTTCTGTTTTTTCTTGGATCTTTCTAAAATGTCTGCCCTATCAGCATAGATATCTTGGAATCTTCACATTCTACCAAGGCACATATTTACAGAAACCCATCGTTTTTATTGTTCTCTTCTGACACTTATTCCTGGTATTTTTTTTCTAAATTACCCATTTTCGGCAGTGTTTGTCTAGTCTAGTCTAGTCTAGATAGTGACTCCTTCTGATTTCTTTCCGCATAGGTGTCCAATCATCTCCGCAGGTTCTTCTGCGCCTCTTTTTCTATCCCTGATGTTTTCGTGTACTTATGATGTCTCCCTTTACATCCGTTCATTCCACATTTGTATTCAAACATAGAGCGTTTTTTGAGTACAATTTCTCGTTTTTCTTCCACAAATGAATTTCTCGCATACATAAATCTTGTATTCTAGCCATTTCTGCAAATATTTTCCCAATTAACTCTTTGTCCGTTTCTTCATGTAGTCTTATGAAGAGAAACCAATCTTCGGGATTTCCGTAGAAATAAGGTACATCTCTTCCATGTACCATAGCATCATGTGCTTAAATAGTGCTAAAAAGACTTGTTTAAAAGTGCCTTTATGGGCCTCAATAGTTTTTGAAGGTTTTTACTAAAAGGCTTTAAGGGTCTTATATATTTAGCATCTAAGAATCTTCCAGAAGCCTTTCGGGTCCTCAAAATTCTAACCCCTCATTGACAACCGAGCCTTTGAAACTTTTTATGAGTCTTGGAGAGCCTTCAAAATTGATAATGGGTCTATAAGAATCTTTAACAGCTTTCAGACACTAAAAAAACGTTAGGAACATTTAACAGTGGAGCCTTTAACATTTTAAATGTATTTCTTAGTATGTAGGCATC